ACTATATTAACAATTGAAAAGTTTTAGTACGATTTGAGATCCGTGCATGAAAAGAGCTTGTTTGAATTTATAACGTAGTTTATTAATTTTTACAATATACATAAATTTTCGTTTTCGTGTTATATTTAACGTTTTTCAGTGCTTTATATATCCATTTTTTGTTTCCTGCTTTATTGAGAGTTAAACTTCAAAACATTTCTTGTCATGATACTGTGTGTAGCAACATACAATTCGTCTGTACTATAGAAACTAAAAAAATTAAAGTTTTTCAATTACTTTTTGCATAAAACACATAATATAAATCTATTCGATATGTGTTTTATATCACGACTGTAATACCGTATATACAGTATTTTGTACTACAACAGGGGTGTCCAACCTTTTTGTTTTTCTGGGCCACATTGGAAGAAGTCTTGAAGTTTTGGCCACAAGTATTAATATTTTATATATACTTGTGGCCCAATCCTTAAATATATACATATCTAGATTATAGTACAGTAAAGCGTCGTTTATCCGAATCAGTTGGGGACTCGGGTTGTTCGGTAAATTGATATTTCGGATAACCGATTATATACGAAAAAATATATTAACCCATCCCTTGTTGAAATTTTTCTCCGTTGCATGTCGCTTCGCATTGAATTTTCGTCGATGTTAAGCCTAACGAAAACTGTTGTATCGTTAAAAATTATTTATTTATTTTGTACAAACAAAATAAATATATTGAAAAATATAAAAACAATAAAAAATAATACTTCAGATGTTAATTTAGTATCAAAAATGTAAAATATTTGAATAGCCCAAGACAGTCAAAGATTGCAGCGCCACAGCACTGGCGAAAATTTAAATTTGCCGACTGGAATTCTTTTGGATAATTGACGTTTCAGATAATTGACTTTCGGATAAACGAGCTCTACTGTAATAAGTATTAAAACTTTATCACGAAAAAGAATATTTAAAAAAATCATTTATGCAAACACTTTCAATTTTTACTTGGAAATAGATATGTTCTTTTATTATAAAGAAGACAAACAAAAATTTGTTTGAAAAACACAAATATTTGTTTTATTTGGGTCTCTAATAAAAAACAACGAAACACTATTTTAAAATGCATTTTTATTCAACTAATATATTTAAAAATAATATGTGGCCCAAAAAGTAGTCAATGCACCAATTAATATTTTTATGCCAAACTAACAAAAGAGTAGCCAAATTTGGCGGAAAGTGGCGAAATCTTGCAACGCTGGATGGAATGCTAAATAAAGGTGGAGTTGGGACTCAAGGATTAGAAACCCAAACGAAGGGAAAGAGAGAAAGGACAAAAGATAAAGTGAGGAAGGTTGGAAAATTAAGGGTGCAATATTTGTATAACAGAAAATCTATTTAACCTTTTTCACTACTTTATATCTTTTGGCCTTTCTCTCCTTTCCCCGAATTTGGGAATATTGGCAAGCGCCTAATCCGACAGAGTGTGCTATTTTTGAGCCAAGATGGCTGCCGAAACAGGTAGGAACCGTCCACGTGTTTCTTCAGTGCCTGAGTCGATTCAGTTTCTATCGGTGACGACTACTGCGAAGACCAAATGGAGAACAAATCATTTAATTTATGTCAAATTCTAGACTATATAGGCGACAAGAAACGTTGTCTTGTAGAAGGTGAAGCCGTTTTGGATAAATGAGACGTACACACAAACACAAAGCATAATGTGTGCTATAAACTTTTGACTGGCCTATGATGTATAAGTGCAGAATGACTCAGCATGGCAACCTTCAGATTGGCACTAATTTTAACTATTATGATAAATAAAACTATGTTTTTATATTGGAATATGGTGTATACTGCTTAAAATATTTAAATACTTCTCACCTGTTAACGTGTAATACACATGCTATCACATGTTTACAAAAACCAGACAGCCCCGCTTTGCACGTGCATTCTCTCTGTAATTGAGATGTATTAAAATGCCAATATCTGAGATTGCAACACTAAAGCAACAACATGAACTTCGGTGTTGTTGTTACAGCTTAATCCACAAAATACGATGTGTCCAGCATCCAAAACGGCTTCACCTTCTACAAGACAACGTTTTCTGTCGTCGATATAGTCTAGAATTTGACATAAATTCAATGATTTGTTCTCCATTTGGTCTTCACAGTAGTCGTCACCGATAGAAACTGAATCGGCTCAGGCACTGAACAAACATGTGGTCGGTTCCTTACCTGTTTCGGCAGCCATCTTGGCTAAAAAACAGTGCTCTCTGTCGGATTTGGCGCTTGCCAATAATCTTCGAGTCACTACTCCAGCTTTATTTAGTATACCTTCCTCATTCACATCTTTCCAAGTATTTGAAAATATCTCCTTTCCACTCAAATATAAAATATGTATAGTGTAAACTTTGTGAAACTTCTTTTTTGAGTTTATGCCGTTGAAATAAATAAATAAATATAAAATAAATAAAAAAATTAGTCAGTTTTGTTTACACGTTTATTGGGCCTCATTGGAACTTGCCTTGGACCGCATGCGGCCCTCGTGCCGCGGGTTAGACACCCCTGTACNTCTATAGTTAATCGTGCTTAGCTTTCCATATCTGGTCTCGATTTCCATTATTGTCATTCGTCCGTCCGTCTTTCCTCGAAATTAACAGACGACAACAATGAGAATCTGACTAAAGAAACAACCTGTTACTGTATATCTTATACAGTACTTTGAAACAAGGCCCTGTGCAATAACGAAAAGGGGGAGCAGCTCGACTTCCCAACCTCATATATAAATATAAAATAAATAAATATAAATATATTAACGTTGTTTTCGACAAAATATATAGTACTTTGAAACAAGGCCCTGTGCAATAACGAAAAGGGGGAGCAGCTCGACTTCCCAACCAAATAAATAAATATAAAATAAATAAAAAAATTAGTCAGTTTTGTTTACACGTTTATTGGGCCTCATTGGAACTTGCCTTGGACCGCATGCGGCCCTCGTGCCGCGGGTTAGACACCCCTGTACTACAAGTTAATTGCTTTAAATTGTAATACTAAACATGTATGTTTGTATATTCGTGTATCTGTTCATATGTATCTGTCAGTATGTTCCTCAACTGACAGATAAAAAATATTTACATTATGGAAAATTAAAAACACGACCGTAGGTGAAAAACGAAAAAATATTTGATATATACAAGGCTATACCAGGGCTGTGGAGTCGCGTAAAAATCTACCGACTCCAACTCCGACTCCGACTCCGACCAACGGAGGACTTGTTACCGAAAGAGACCCGGAAATTCTGATGTCATCACGTGACCTCAGAATAAAAGATTCAATAAATAGAGTTTTAATAAAGATAGAGCGTAGAAACTTTTTATTCCAAAGCCAAAAGACTTCTCTAAGTAATATATAAGTATGTATTCGATAATTTTTACTTTTCCGGCTGTTATACAGAAGGAAAGTGTAGCGCTCGGTCAAAAATGACCCTTTCCAAATTTTTACATTTTTGGACTCGGAACACCTCGAAATTTCGAGATATGCAAAAGATTTGAGTTATTTTTTCTATATGTGTGGATGTTAGACTGTGTGGGGGCATGGTTTTGTTTACCCTGTTTGAAGCCTAATAATTTCTATGGTCAGAGTGGTCAGAATCGGAGTCAGATGAGGACACAGGAGTTAGTTATTAAGCGTCAAAGTGGTTGAACTAAATCGTGTCCCCATACACATTCTAACATCTTAGGCGGGAACATCTTAACGGGTTTTACTGTATTATTACTGTATTATTATATCGGGAAAGTACCGGTAACTATTAAACTAAACGTTCCTAATTGGATTTTTCGCTAGTGTAACTGTAAGTAAGGTTTTTGAAGGCTTTTGTACAAAAAGTCAGAAAGTAGGCTTAGAGAAAATCGGGTGGTAATATGGAACTTTACTGTATATTTTGAAAAATGTTTTAATGTAGCCGAAAACAAATAGGAAAGTACAAAAAATGTTACATAATTACAAAATTATTTACTCCAATGTATTTTATAGCAAAAATGCTTTTATAATAAAAACTATGACCTCTGTCAACGATATATATTCAAGCAGCTCTTTTTCGATATTCTCGGGAAGAATTGACTTTATACCTAGTGTCTTTTTCACAAATTGCTCCGGACGAATGTCTGCTTGCAAAGAGAAAGTTCGGAGAAGTTGAGTTCCATATTACTGTAAACGCACCAATAGGGTCCGTAATTCACGCATTGCCATCTTGAATTAACTTATGTCTGTCGAGACCAAAATTTAAAAAACGTGAACATCACACAAATTAATATGTATCCCTAAGTCTCTGGAACGGAATACGTGCACCAGTGAACCTAAAACTACACGATTTATATTTTTAAAATAATTAAATTCACTTAGCATTCAAAACTTACGAATTTTGAAAAAAACAAATTTGCTGATTAAATACGGACAACCGTTTAACTGAAGTAAAACGGTTTTTCCCTCGCTATGGATGTCTGCCTAGTGCAGTTTAAACACAATCCGCTGCAGTTCACCTTTATTATCAGTTCGAAATGGGGTGGTTCCATAATACCCGCAGTGTTCCATAATACCACCTTTTCCTCTATTAATGCCCCTTTATACGCAAGCCACAGATACAGATAGATACAGATAATTTTATTGATCAGATACCAACAGGTACATGCCCGGCACTGAAAAACATAACCGAGTAAAGCGCGACAATACTGAGAAAGTGAGTACTGGTCAAATAGTTTGAGTGTACACACGTACACTTACAGGAATACAGTAGTATAAAAATTATACAGGAGTACAAAGGAAAATTATACATGGAATACAAAATAAACACTATACAGGAATTACTTATATTATACGAAAATACAATAATTGCCACATTGTACAGGAGTTTGGGAGTACAAATAGAGTTCCGTAGACGGAATACACAAATGATATTACATTTTGCAGAGATATTTTAATATAAGCATAATACTAGAGTACAGGTAATATATACATTAATAATTACATGGGCACGGTTGAACACTTAAAGTATTTGACAATAAGCGTGTTGAAAGCCTCATAGGTGTCCTTGTGTTTGAAGATCTCGTAGCAGTCATTAGGCCAGGACTTGCCGTGGGCCTCTAGAACGATTTTGAGGTGTAGCCTCTCCAGCTCTAGGGCAGGACACTCGAAGAGGTAGTGTGAAGAACTGTCCACGACTCCGCATAATGAACAGTTAGGGTTAGGGGTGTTGTGGAACCTCGCCAGATAAGAGTGGAATCCTCCGTGGTTGGTGAGGAATTGGCTCATGCGTTGATTAGGGCAGTACCACTTGCTGTTAATGAAATTTCTGATGGCTGGAATAAGTCTATGTGTGGTGGGATGCCTCCTCTCATTCCTGTCCCGTTGCCAGGAGGTGAGTAGATGGTCCTTCAGGATGAGTTTGATGGAGTGGATGCTAAGTTTGTTGTAGGCCACAGGGAGGTCGTGGTCAGAGCTGGCGGACTTGGCAAGGGCGTCCGCCCTCTCGTTGCCGAGCGTTCCCTGGTGGGCTCTGGTCCAACGGATGTAGTAGGAGTTATTGGAGGCAGAAATATTGTTCTGGATGTCATAGGCAATGGGATGGTGCGAGTGGTTCTGGAGAAGTGTAATGGAAGATAAGCTGTCTGAAATGATCGCCACGGTGGAGTTGGAGTAGTTGGCAGAGGACCAGGCCACTGCTCTACTGATGGCAAACAGCTCTGCTTGAAGAATGGTGAAATGGGCACCGAGCCTATGGCGTTCAGAGGCTATTTCCGTGTTGTTGTGTTATGCGACTAAGCCACACCCGACATTGAGGTCAGCTTTCGAGCCGTCGGTGTAAATCTCCAAGTCGGCGTGGTTAGGTTGATAGAAGTTAATTGTGATGGGGAGAGCGGGGTGCCTGGAGCTGGCAAGAGGGATGCTGCTCTCGAGGTCCCTGCTGTTGATAATGAGGTCGTCCATATTAATGTTGCGCCCACGCTTGAGATGCCAGAGACTGGCGGAGGACATGATGTACTTGTCTATTGGAGGCTTCCTTGCAAGGATCTGTAGAGACAAATTGGGGGTGGTAGAGTAGGCTCTGGTGATATAAATGAGGGCTCTCCTTTGTGCGGCGATTAATTTACGGCGTATGTGGACCTTGGGCACTGCCTTACTCCAGCTGCCGCAGGCGTAAGTAATGATAGGGGTGAAAATCTGGCGGTAGATGGTGTCCATAGCCTCAGAAGCCAGCCCCCAGCGCTTCCTTGCAATACTTGCAAAGGGGCTTGGCGTCAGGTTGATGGAAGTCGGAGGTCACGTTTTGCTGTGCTCCCGTTTTTGCGAAGTTATCGGTGGATTTTTTGGTCTTTAGTGCCTGAATTATATATCGCTGGACTTGGGAAGTCGTGCTGCTCACACTAGTATCACTGTTTTTTGGTTATTCTGGCTTTCCGCGGAAATACGGACATCGAAACCCTGTGGACTTCCAGACCTACTTTCCGCATTTCTACAGTGTATGTGGACCGCTTTTGTAATTTTAACGAGAAGTGTCTCTCCTGCCGTTACTTATTAATTACGTTTTTACGACTGATTAAGACCCTGCTTTCGTCAGTCAAATTTGGTTCAACTTGTAAAAACTTTACAGGACTAGGAATTTTTTATTTCTGCATTTTTCATTTTAAACAAAGGGCATTGTCTGGTCCACGTTCTCGTTGCTTGCCCCGAGGCAGTCAGAACATTCCAGGAAGCTCCTTTGTTCAGTGTCACTCGCTGCTATATACAAGTTTTTGTCAACACATTTCCTTTGCTTGGAGGCAAACAGGTGGCTTTAAAGGGTTGTTGTTATTGTAACATTCAGCAACCCGTTATTTGTTTATTAATTTTTAATTTATTGAAGGTGCATAGTCTACTGTCTATTTACTTTATGAGGCACCCATGGAGAGCTCAGGAGAGCCTAGTCATCAACATTTAACTAACTTCGAAGACTCCATTATCAAGTCTGCTGCTATGCAGCTGGGGAGAATAATGAACTTGTGTCCGGAAAACACCACTGGCACAGTAAAGAAGGGGAGGAACAAAGGCTTCAGTTCAGAGGAACGGCTCCAGATCAGAGAACAGGCCTCTCTGTTATTTGCGGCCGTAAACCAATTATATGGGATCGTCTCAGAACTGCGCAACAAACCTGAGGCAACAAATGTGGAGCGGAGTGCTATCAGGCAATCGTATGCCGAGGTTACAAAGCTCAACACACGCCCCAGCAGCACTACAGGGTCATATCAAAAACCCTTTACAACAAAGTGGACACAGAGGGAACTGGAGGTAACCACACCCTGCTTATCTACCCGAAACAAGGGGAAGAAAATATCAATATGGAAGAACTTAAAAACGATATTCTGGACAATGTTCACCCACAAGACCTGCAGGTGGGAGTCAAGTCGGTTTACCGTGTTAAAAGGGATGGACTGTGCCTAAGGGTGGGAAGCCCTACAGAAGGGGAGAAATTAAGAATGGCGATTGAGAACATTCCCACTGTAAAAGAAAAGGTAAACTGTCATCTGACAGAAAAAGAAAACCTCGGGTAATCCTCATAAATACCCCTAACTCCATACAAGACGACAAAGTCACGGAAATGATTTATAAACAAAACAGATTGCTTTGGAATAACTTAACGTGGGACTCGTTCACGAGCCAGTGCCAGGTAAGCTTCTCCCTGTCAAAGGGAAGGGTGCGGGAAGGATGCCGCCACATTATCCTTATGGTATCTCCAACAGTTCGAGATACACTAATTACAGCGAAGCACATTTCCATCTCTTGGGGGAGCATCAAAGTAGATGATTACATACCACTGCTTCGATGTTACAAATGTTGTGGATTTGCTCATACGGCGAAAGATTGCGTCGAACTACAAAGATGTAGCCATTGTGCCAGGAGTCACCGTTTCGCTGAATGCGCCAAAAGAGACGAGGTTCCCTGCTGCATAAATTGCAGGCAAGCGAACAAAAGCTTACCAAAAGAGCAAAGGATGCCAACTGACCACGCAGCTTACAGCCAGGAATGCGCAATAACCAAGAAGATGAAGACCTTAGCAGTTAAACGAACCAATTATGGCTGGTAGGCTCAACTGTATATCATATTCGAGTAATAATATCCCACTAAGGACTCCCAACATGAGTAATCCTGCTAATAATTCCCAATTCAAACTAAATATCCTTCAAATCAATGTCCAAAGGGCTAAGGCTGCTTCCTCACTGGTGATAAAAATGGCAGAAGAGCATAACACGGACATTATCCTTCTACAAGAACCATATCTCGTGAAAAAAGCTATCGTTCGTTTTGGAGGATGGAACATCCTTCTTCCTAACTGCAACAGTGATGGGACCAAGACTGGCATCCTCACTTGCAACAAAAACATAAACACTGTCTACTGCCCGGAACTGTCGACTAGTTACGCCACCACTGCATATATAAAACACCACGACATGATTATCTATCTTACTTCTGTCTACTGTTCTCCGTTCAAATCCATTGACCACCTTATTCAGGACTTGCAGAGAATTAACGACAAAATTGGCTCGTTTCCTTGGCTGGTTGGGGGGACTTTAATGCAAAGTCACCCATCTGGCACAGCCCAGTGGAGGACGGCAGAGGGTACAGGGTTAGCGAATTTGCGTCTAGGAACCACTTAGTTTCGCTTAACTCCAGCCCTCTCCCCACTTTTTTCTGTGCAACGGGAAAAAGCTGGATTGACATTTGCTTTGCCAACCACCAGGCACACCCCCTTGTGGATCTCTGCACCACTATGGAGGAAGACAGTGTGAGTGATCACAGGTACATCAAAAAGCAACGATCCTGTGAAGGAAACAACTAGGTACACTAGGAAAGTCACTGACTGGAACTTATTTGATGAATTGTTTCACACTTACTGGGCTAATGCAATCCACCATGAACTAGCTGATATTAATGATGCAGACGAGCTGGCAGAGCATCTTAATGCTAGCATTAGTAATGCTTTTTCAAACTCCATCATAATGAAAGAAAACAAACATAGGAATGCCCATTGGTGGAACGATGCTCTCGATGCCCAAAGAAACAGTGTCCGCAGGCATCGGAGATCCTTTGTAAAGGAAAATGATCCCACCCTCAAACAACAGAAAAAGCAAGAGTATATCCAGAAATTAAACGCTTACAAAACCGAGATAAACAAAGCACGCACGAACGCGTGGCGCAAATACTGCTCGGAAATAGGGAATATAACCACTTGGAGTGACCCCTATCACATCATCATGAAGCTCAGGAAAAACATCGGCATCCCAGCCAATATGGAGAAAGTGGACGGTGGGTACACCACTGATCTGGATGATACGATTAAACATCTTTTTACTACCCATTTCCCTCCAGACGACCAAGAGGAAGATAACCCAGAGCAGAGGAATATCAGGAGAGAAGTCCTCTACCCACCTATCACTGACGACGACATCCCGTTCACTTTCACAGAGGTGGCCACTGCTATCAATTCTTTACGGAACAATAAGGCCCCCGGCATTGATGGGATTACGGCCCGTATGGTGAAAAGGGCATTCAAAGCCATTCCTATCGCCTTCGTCCTTAGCTTCAACTTGTGCCTCACCAGACATCAATTTCCAAAATGCTGGAAACATGCTGTTGTGAAATTCATACCCAAAATAGGGTCTCCCAACTCAGTAAAAGCCACAGATCTGAGGCCAATTAGCCTTCTGCCCATACTGGGCAAGGTTCTCGATGGACTTCTAATCAATAGGATTAACTACCATCTCATGAATAACAACCACCTGCATCCCCATCAATTTGGCTTTGTCCAAGGGAGCTCCACCTATCATGCTATCCACAGGGTAATCCAATTCATAGGCAGTGCCTGGAAAAACGAAGAGCACGTAGTGTTGATCTCAATAGATTACAGGAACGCATTTAACTCTCTNTCATCGATCTTTCTGTTAACCGCCTGAAAAAAGGTTTCGCCTGCAGAGGTAGAGTGAAGAATCTGGGATTTTTTGAGTTTGCCGGTGCATAGTCTAGTTATAAAACCCCATGGGTTTTTAGCTGCTTCAGCACAATAATTATCCCAGGACTCTTGTTTTGTCTTTTTTATCTCACTCTTGTAAATATTCAGGTGATGGTAGTAACATTGTTTAAGGGTGTTACGAGTGGGTTGTGCTCGACTGTTCTGGTACTCCTTTCTTAGACGGATGTTAGTCTTTCTGAGGTTCGTTGATTCTGGGGTCCACCATGGGACAGATTTTCTTTTGTTGACGTACTTTGGGATGAATGTATTGCAGGCAGTGTTTATGATGTTGATGTTCTGGTTGATGCGGCGACGGGCCTCGGTGTAGTTGTCGCAGTTGTAGTCGACCAGATTAGATTCGAGAAAGTTCTGTAGCTCAGTCCAGTTGACGCGTTTAATATTGTATTTTGGCCGGGGGTGTGTTGTGTCTTCAAAACTGACCCCAAGAGTAAAGAAGATAAAGGCATGGTCGTCAATGTTATCCTCAAGGATCCTCCAGTTGTGGATGGAGGGGTAACAGCCCATTGAACAGGCTGTCACATCGATCCAACTGTAGCCTTGTGTGGAGGTGAAGGTGGGCGGAGAAGAGGGGTCTTTAATAACAAGCATGCCAATGCGGGCGATAAACTCTTCGAGGGTTCTGCCTCGGTTGTCCAGACGGTAGCCCCCCAGGTTGGGGAGTGGGCGTTTGTATCACCAGAGAGGATGAGATAGGCGCCCGGGAAATGATTGATGATATGCTGTATGTTTTCGAGGATCTGGTCGATACTCAAGTCCTTAGGGCAGTAATAATTTATCATGATGTATCTGTGATGACTGGTGGCGAACTCAGAGCAATAGATGTACTCAGTACTTAGGGCTTTATGATGGAGGATGGAGAGTCTGTTGTTGACAATGATGGTAATGGCCCAGGGGTAATCGGCGGTGCCCCTAAGCGTAGTGCAGCTGTGAGGAAGACAGGCCGGGTTATTGCGTAAGCAGTAAGGCTCCTGACAGAAAACAATATCATAATTATTCATAATCGAGCTGAGGATGGAAGAAGCGGCGATGCTTCTTCCAGCATTAAACTGAAGGAGACTGATGTAGCTACTGTTGTATTGTTCCATATTCGGTTTGTTTTAAAAGATTGGTTTTTATACGTTGATATATGGTGCAGAAGCTGTCCCGTGCGTTATGTTCTGTGGAGCCGATTTTTTCT